CAGTACTGAAGCTTTAACCCGTTGTGCCATCAGGGAGACCCCTCTTTCACATTTTATATGCCCGGCTCAGAACTGGGCGCTGGGAACATCTAGATGCTTAAGTCTAGATCACGGTACAGGTGCAAAGACAGGAGAGGCAGACCCAAAAGAGACAGCGGGCAACAGGTACTAACTCAGCAACGCGTGGGTCTGATATGAGGGCAGGGAGTCAGTGAGCAGAGTACACTTGAGCTGGGTGTTGAAGGGCCAGAAAATCCCAGGAGTAACTGGCTTGGCCAGGAAAGTGAACAATCTGGAGTCTCCTGGGTCAGGTCAACGTGGACACCCTCTGGGAGGACAGTCAGAAAGTGTCTGTGGGGAGAGGCAAGATGCAGGTGAAGGGCTGTGTAAGCAGGCCCCATGACCTGTCAGACAGGTGGAAAGGAAGGGGCTTTAGAAAAGTCAGGCCCTCTGGTGGCGCAACAGTTCGAACCCCTGCCCTGGAGGTGACCCACAGGGCACCGCAGACCTCTCCTGATCCGCCCACTGCTCCCCTCAGTAGTGTACATGACAGTCGGCCTGTTCTGTTCCCCACTCTGTCTCTGGTGAATCCTCTCACCACCCCTGCACCTCTGGCCTGTACCCCAGTTCTGTATGTGTAATAAATCAACTTTTAAAAAAAGGCCCTCCCTGGTGGTACAGCGGGTTAAACCACAGCACTGAGAAGCTAAAGCCACTTCTGCATGAGTTCGATTCCCGCCTGCCCCGGAGGTGACCTCATGGCGTGGCAGACCTCTCCTGACCCGCCCGCTACTCCCCTCAGCAGTGTACTTTGTCTATCTGCCTGTTCTGCTCCCCACTCTGTCTCTGGTGAAGCCTCTCGCCACCCCTGAGTCTCTGGCCTGTACCCCAGTTCTGTATGCACAAAATAAATAAATCTTTAAAAAAAAAAAAAAGTCAGGCAGCCTGCTCTTACTCTGGGCTGTGTGGCTTGGGGTAAAAGGCTGAATGAACTGTTACTGTAGACTTTCATTAGGGGCCAGGCAGCACGAGGAGAAGAAAGGGAAGCTCTTTATCTAGGCAGGCAGGTCCAGAGGAGAGCTCCCTCCAAAGTCTGAGCACAAAACGACTAGATTACGGAGTATTTATTAAGGCAAGGGGGACAGTCATCTGGAAATGCATGGATCAGGTGCGTGTGGCCCTGAGAGTGCTTATCAGTTGTTCCCCAAAATTTTCAGTCTACAGACTGTGTCCCAACTTCAGCTAATCAACAGGCAGCCCGATATTTTCCACTTCAGAATCTCTCTGAGTTTCTGGGCCCTCCCTGGTGGTGCAAAGGGTTAAGTGCAGCACTATGAAGCTCTCCACAGCCACTGCAGCATGAGTTCGATACCCATCCCGGAGGTGACCCACACAGCACAGCAGACCTCTCCTTGACCCGCCCACTGTTCCCCTCAGCAGTGTAATCAATCAGTCTATTCTGCTTCCCAGTTCAGGATGGTGAATCCTCTCACCACCCCTGCACCTCTGGCCAATATCCCAGTTCTGTATGCATAAATAAATTTTTTTTTTTTAAAGAAAGAACCTCTCTGAGTTTGTTTCACCACTTGTGAAAGGATTATGGGGAAGATTTTAAGAGAAAAGTTATATGAAAGCCCCTAGCAATAGTGCCTGGCACTCAGTTTCCTAAACTTATGCTTATTTTTTTCCCCCCAGCAAGTTTAGAGGAAGGCAGTGCAGCCAGGGTCACACACACGGACAGGTAAGGGCTGTGCGCAGGAGGGAGGTTTCTGGCTCTGTGAACTGGAAACCTGTGTGCCTTTTGGAACCTTGTTTTTGTTTGTTTGTTTGTTTTTTGTTTTTAATTTCTTGGGTCAAGCCTCAGCCTACTTGGATCTGGCCCTGCCCATAAGGGGTTCATGGATTAAAAAAAAATAAAAGAGGGGAGTTGCACAGAGGGGAAGATAGCTAAAAGGCATGGCGTTTCTTTTTTTATATATATAAGTTTATTTTTACATCATTTTGTACATTTGTTTTTCCCATATCAATTGTAATCCCCGCAGGTTTCCCATCACCGAATCACCCGTGTGCCATCACCATAATCCCGTGCACTTCCCTCCCAACCCCCCTGTAAAAGGCATGGAGTTTCTTTTTAAGGGAATGAAAATGTTTTAAATTTAGTGAGGGTTGTGCATGTCTGTGAATATACTAAAACCCAGGGAATTGGACACTTCAAATGGGTGAATTGAATGCTATGTGAATTTTATCTCATTAGCACTGTTTAAGAGAATATTTCTTGCTGGGCTGATCCGAGACAATGTGGAAAAAGAAATGAGAAAAACCTAAGAAAAACTGGGTTGGGATGTCAGAGTGCTTGAGTGAAGGTTAAACTAAGTAAATAATGCATGTAAAAGTGCTCCGCATCTCGCTGACAAGGAATGGGAGGTCAGAAAGTGCTAGATTCCCTTCTGTCTTTCCCTTTCTCCCCTCACAGTAGTTGCCAAGAGAACATCCAACAAGATACCAGCCGAAGAAAACAAGAAGCTCTTTATGCCAAATCACAGGCACAGGCAGGGCCGTGTCGGGGAGGGCAGAGAAGGCCTGGGAGGACACCCCAGCCCTCTTCATTCACAGGTTTAAGTGTTGTTCCATCTGCTCTCGAAGTTTGTATTTCTGGATCTAGAGGAAAGAGAAGGGACTGAGAGCCAGGCTCGGTGCCTCTGCCATTGAGGGCAACCAGCCCTTTCAGTCTGCCTGGAACCGAGATGTTCCTTAGGCTGAGTCTCCTGGGCAAACCGGGATGGGCTGACCAGTCGGCCATGCTGCTGCCAGCCACTGGACAAACTCTTGGGCCCACTATGCAGAAGGCATGGTTGGAGCCTCTCGGCTTTCTGCACCTGGCGCCCCAGACCACCCAGCCCTCCCTAGCCTCCTCTACCTGGCATACCTTTCCGGAGACAGTGAGGGGGTAGTCTGTGACAAACACAATGTACCGGGGAATCTTGAAGTGTGAGATCTACAGAAGAGAGGAGATAAAGCGTGAGGCTGGGTGGGGTCCTAGGGGCAGAGCTAGGGGAGAGCGCGCTGTAGGTTGGCGGGGAGAATCAGTCACACCAGCTGGAGGGTGGGTTCAGCGTCCCACCTTCCCTTTGCAGAAAGCCTTGATCTCCTCGGCCGTGGTCTTCTCCCCGTGCTTCAGTCGAATGCAGGCACAGACCTCCTCGCCCATCCGGTCATCCTTCACGCCTACCACCTTCGAGGGTCAGAGGCAGATGTTAGACATCCCCACCTGCATCTGTGCCCATGTCTCCTGCTCCTGGGGGCCCGCCGGGACTGGTGCTTACCTGTACTTCCTGCACCTGTGGGTGGGTGTGAAAGAAGTCCTCCAGCTCCGCAGGATAGATGTTCTCACCGCCCCGGATGATCATGTCCTTGGAGCGGCCCACAATCTTACAGAAGCCTTGTTTATCCATCATGGCAATGTCTCTGCAGGTGAAGCCCAGGAATGGCCTCTCACCTCCACCTCACTGGGCTAGCTTGCTCACTCACTCATCAAACATTTATCAAGCACCTACAATGTGCTGGCTCTGTTCTAGGCTCTGACAGACACAGCATGAACATGACATGTCTAGTGGAGGAGACAGACAAAAACAAACAGGCCAGAACCTGTCCCGCCTTCTCACCCAGTCCGATACCACTTGTCCTGTCCAATTGCTTCTTCTGTCTTCTGGGGCTCACCCCAGTACCCCAGCATGACGCAGTACCCTCGGATGAACAGCTCTCCAGGTGTGTTCAGCTCTACCAGGGTCCCCGTCTGTGTGTTCATGATCTGGGCCTGGGAGCAGACAGCTTCAGGATGCGGCCTCCCACCTTCTCACCTTAGGCTGGGGAGGGCCTCAGGAATGGGGGCAACTTTGCCTTCTCTCTCCCCAGTAACAAGACCCCCTGGACCTGCCTATCCCAACTCAGGGCAGAGAGACAGCCTGGACTAGATCCACCACGAGCCTGGACAGGAAAGAATGGTGCAGGCCCAGGCCAGGAGAAGCTAAGGAAACGGAGCGGGCAGAGGTTGCTGCAGAGGAGGCCTGTGGAGGGCCAGGCCAATTGACGAGTTAGAAACGGTAGAAATAACGGAGCAAATAAAGAAGCCAAAGAGGGTGGCGTGGCAGGGCCACGTGAATGGGAAAAGAGAGACAGGCAGAGTTGAAAGCCTAGCAGAGAGATGAGCCACGGCCCACGTGCAAGGGGCGCTTAGCCCGTGTGCCTTGGTGCCTGGACCCGTAAAATGGGGAGTACTACCCCTGCCCCGTCTAGCCCACAAGTGGGTGCCCCCATGAGCAGCAGTGGGCGTCGGGTACGTGGGAGGGTACACTGCCATGGCACTCACTGCCATGAGGAGGACTGCAGACATCTCAGCATGGTGTGTTAGCCCTAGCGAAAGTGAATGCTCGGGCATGTTGGCAGTAACCCCAGAGGGGCGAGGATGCAGGAGGCAGGGGACCCAGGTGTGGGGTGGCATAAAGCACCAGCGAAGGAGTCACAGCTGTAGCGAAGAGGAACTCTGCAGAACTGGGGGGCAGGGAGAATACAGGAGAAAAAGAGCTGTGTAGGAAAAATCTCTGTGCTCTGGCTCCTCTTTGAGGCTGTCCTGGCTGCCCCGAAACAGACAGTGGGCTTGGCAAAAACAGACCTCAGACAGGAAGGGAGGCTGTGGAGAAGTTCGGCTGGCCGCTGGTCAGGGCCACTGCTCCAGCTCTTCCCCTCAGGCCTCCACCCACAGAGGGAGCCTGAGCCAGGCCCTCGACCCTGCAGCGTCTGGAGGAAGCTGTTCGGCCCTCTCATTGAAAGCAATAAATGTTCTGGGGCAGGGGCAACCTAGGTGATCAGTGGGAGGTGGGATCTGAGGGCTGGGCGGGGCTCACCTCTGTATGAGGCATAATTCTGCCCACAGTTTCTGCTTTCTGCTCCAGAGTGTCCTGAGCAAAGTTCATGAAGGTCACGGGACTGTTCTCTGTGGTTCCATAAGCCACCTAGGGAGTCCGGAAAGGGTGTTGGAGGGAGCTCGAGGACTGAATGGAGACGGGGTGGGCTGCTCTGAGGGAATGGGACGGAGACTGGGGGAAAGTGGAGGGCAGCAGGATGGTGGGAAGACACATACTCAACAGGTCAGGGGTCCGAGGTCAGAGGTGCTGAGATTTTGAGTAGACTAGCAGACTAGCTCAATGAGCCGGAACAGCAGGCCTGACATAAAATTGAGAGCAGGGAAGCCATCCCCTTCCACACAGGGCCCCCAGTGTCCGGCTTCTCTGGGGCAGTCACCAAGGCCCCCAGCCCTCACTGCCCCTGCCTTCCAAGCCCTTCAACCCATGAACTTGACAAGACAGCCAGCTGGGCTGGGCCCCTCTGGCAGTGGCATAGACACAGCCCACCCACCCAGCCCTACCCTGCCTCACCCTTCTGAAGCTCAGGACAAGAGTCTAGTCTTGGGTGGGTGTCCCCAAGCCTGGAGAGTTTCCTGTAAGTTTATTTCCATCAAAATAAAAAGACAGCCAAAGCAAGGATTTCAAAAGCCAATGGCACCCCCGCCCCTTCCAGTGGTTGGAACACCCTGAGCAACAGAAAACAGAAGCCAGCTTTGGAGAAGGCTAAATACCATCAGGGAATGTTCTGGGCAACCATGACCCCCGTCAAGAGGCAATGGGCAAAAGGGGTTTAGGAAAGGGGCCTCCATACCCGGGGACTGGAAGAAGGGTGAAGGGCTAGCTGCCCTGTATTCCAGGTTCCTTCTGGGCAGCAAAGACACCCGACCCTTGTCCATCCTCCACCATGCCACCCCTCAAGTCCCCCCACCCCCCACCGCCCTCCAACTGCTCTGTGTTAGCTGGGGTGAGTCAAGCACGGAGGGTCTGCCTTCCCCCCCTCCTCCCTCCAATACAGACAACAATCTCCTACCAATCATCCCAGAGCTGAGATGCTATGTTGCCCACCTCCCCTTTCCCGAGGAATGGGGGGCCACCTTGGTGGGTAAGTGGACACAGAGACCAGGCCGGCTGAGGGCTGGTGGCCCCCAGAAAGCGCAGCCATCCAGGGCCAGCTCCCTGCAGCCAGGAGACCTGGCCCTGCTCCCCTTCCCTCACAGCCCTGGGGCCACTGTCCAGGTGTGGCTTCTGCTGGGTACACCTTGGCGCCACTCTGGCCGCCACCCCAGAGACCCCTGGGGCAGGTCCTGACCACGGACGGACGTGGGGATGAGGTGATGGAGATATTTTAGGAAGCTTAAGTAAGGGGAGAAGGAGCCGCTGCAGCCGCTGTTCCCGCGCTGACTCTGCCTGTGTCTTCAGGTGTGTTTACGAGTCCTGGGCGACTCCAGACTCCACCCTCGCCACCCCACTTCCCCATCTTCTGGCTAGCATTCAGCCCGGGAAAAGGGGGATGGGGCACAGGAGGCCGGAACTCAAGCCCGGAGCTGGGAGAGGGGCCACCGTCGAGTCGCGGCAGGCGGCCTCGCGGTCGGAGGGGCCGGCTCTGCGCGTCTGGCCGGAAGGGGGAGCCCGCGCCAGAGCGGCGCTCACGCTCGGCCGGCGGCGCACAAGAGCCCCATTAAAGCTCCGGGGCTGGCGGGGCTGGCCGAGCGCGGCGGACTCGCGTCCGGCTGTCCTGCTCCGCTTCCTCCCTTGCTGGGTCCAGGGCTCCCGGCCGAGCGTCTAGGGTGGGGGGTGGAGGGGGGCAGTGACCTGGAGACTCAAACTTGAGCAAACAAATAAGTTGAGGGACCGCCTCCATCTCTTTGGTGTAAACTCGGGGCTCTCGACACACCCATTCCCCCTCCCCGAAAAGTCTGAGGGAAAGAAGGTAGGGGGTGGGGTGAGGAGCAGGCTCTGAGAGCGGAGAGAAAGGGGGTGAAGGATGGGGTGAGGTTCGGTCAAGGTCCTAGTCCCAAACAGCCGCCCTGGGGTGGGGGGGTGCCCCGCCGGGGTGCCCCGCCCCTCCCCCTCGAGGGGGGGGCGCATCTCCGGGCCGGAGGGAGTTAAGCCGGTGCCTCGATGCTCCACGTAGGAGCTGGCGCAGCCTGCAGCCTGCGGTCAGGGCCACCGTATAAATAGGCCGGGAGACCCGAGCTCCGAGGACTCGCCGCTGCACGCACCCCGCCGCCGCCC